AAGGTGGTCCCAAACTAGTGTCAAGTTCTGGTGCCTCATATAGTACACTTAAGGAAAAAAAAAAACCTGGGTTAACAGAGCTGTTATTCCAAAGTGGAATGGACTAACCAGGGAAGTGGTTCCCCTTCATTAGAGGTCTTATGACCAAGGGACAAAGCTTGTTTGCTATGTCCAAGAAGGAATACTTTTTCAGGAACTGTGACTATGTGGTCTCTGAGGTCCCTGTGAGCTTTGAAATTCTTTGATTCCGTGATTATTTAATGAGGGATTCTGAGTTATCTACTATCGATCAGGAACAGGATCAAGGAGTAATTATGGATTTGCAGGTTATTCCTTGGAAGCATCTCTACCCAAAGTGCTGTTGTGGACAAAAAAAAAATGGCACAAAAGTGATAGACTTTATCATGAATGGTAGGAAAAAGACTTTTTTCCTTGCAATTTAGAACTAATAATCTGAGCCCAGAATGAGGGATTTGCAGTTTAAACAATTAATTAACATTCCTATAATACCCCTAAATCTAGGTTAATGCTACAATAGTAAATTGTTAAAATGCCACCTTACCAACTCTTCCATTTTTTAGATAGTGTGGAGAAGTCCCTTAAAAATACTATTCTTTTTGGCAGAGACATATTAGTTTCTCTTTATTGATTGAGAAAACTATACAAAAATCTAGATCAGTCATAAAAGAGTATTAATTAAAAAGTACTAGCATTTTAACTATCCAAAGTGCATTTGAAATATAGGGCAGCTTTTTAAAAATCCATATTAGGTAATAGAAATATATATTTTTTTAAAAAGATACAAAGGTCTTACTTATGTCATAGTTAATTAGGTGATTCACACCCACGTTTTGGGTTACACATGGAATAAGGAAAAGCTGACTGTACAAAGTAAAGGTTCAGTCATTGATAGCAAGCATCTACATGGAGAGGAACCTGGGAAAGGCAGAGATTGAACAAGGAACAAGAGCTCCTTGAGAGTAGAAACTGTGGCTTTGTTTCCCTTAGCACCAGGCAGGCTATCTTGAGTATTCAATAAATCTTGGTGAATGAAATGATGACGATGGTGATGAAAACTACTTCAGAAGCTATAAGTCTATGTAAGGCTCAGACATGGATAATTGGAAGTATATGGACATTGGAAGTACTTGATTTGGTTTGGCAAAATTCATCAGTACTTCCTAAGCTTTGCCAAACCCAGACCCCTCCAACTCAGTCCCCATCCACCATGAGGAATCCATACCTGGAGGATGCTCACTGATCAGCTACCTGAGCAATGTAACAGCAGTGTCTGCCAAAAAACCTTCTGTTCTTAGGTTCTATCATGTTTTGTTTCGAGAAGGGAGAGAGGAATACAGTGGAAAAGTGGAAAAGACATACAATTTCAACAGCTGACTCAGACTGCTCAAAGGTGTGATACATGGGAAAGAGCACCAGCTTTGTAGTCAAGGACCTAGAGTTGACTCCTCCTCTAGGGCTAAGTCTTTTCATCTGAAAAACAACGGGATTGGACTAGATAACTTCTAAGGTCTCTTCCATCTGTAAATACATGATTCTTTATATCGATACTAGTTTTCATTAAATAAAAATACCAATGAGAAAGTTATTCATGTTCACATTAAGAGGGAAAAAAGGAACACAATTCCCTGCCTCTTCTGGTTATAGTGATAAGAGAAATTGGCAGGTAGAATCAATTAATTCTAGGAATCTCTGCTTTTAGTGGTAAAAATGTCTTTGAAATAAGTTTGAGTTTGAAATTTTTCCTATGAAATTGAAAACTTACTAAAAAGATCTCAGAATCTCCCTTGTAGTTTTAAAGAGTGAATAGTTCCCTTTAATTTGAAAAAAGAATTCAATTCACCTTGAGTTACAAAGTCAAGTTGCAAAATATTGTTTATGTGAAATTTGTTTCAATTTGAAAAACTTTTTTTTAACTTTGGTTATCATAAAAGATACAGAAATTGACATGTTATAACTTTGTGAAGGTATTAATATTGCTTTTCCTCCAAAAAAGAGTGTAAAAGAATAATGATTAACAAACATATCCAAATCTGTATAAGCTTTGTAGAACAGAACAATGAGTCTATTTTTAAAAATTGATTCTTAAATAAATTTATTTAAATTGTTAGAGATCAATATCATTTCCAATTTAGACCAGTTGCTTAAAATTTGAAATCAATTTATTTTTTAACCATGAGATTCTGGAAGCTATAATCAGTTTTGATTCCTTGACGAAAATGAATGATGTTTAGTAATTACTAAAATCTTTTTTACAATTCAATGATATATCCATACATAATATTAAAACCAGATATCAAAAGATGAAGAGAAAAACTAATTTTTTCTATCTCATCACAGTCCCTCCAAACATCTAAACACCTTGAAGACCATTAAAAAATCATTTTCCCCTCCTCAATTGCTTATACATTATACATTCCCTAGAATCCTTGAGAGAACTCCTAGGTCTTTTCTGACAATATAGCCTTTCCCTTTTGAAAAACTGTTCTTTGCTAGCAAGGGATTAATTACTCAATTGATTTTTATAATATAAAACACAATAGATAGCATCAGAGCATGTGGGTTCCAAACCCAGGGTTTCCATTAACCAGCTGTAAGACCTCAGACATAATACGTGGACCTTAGTTTCTCATTCTTTTCTAGTTTCAAATGGAAAAAAAAAAAGGTATTACTTACCTCATGGTTCCTGAGAGGAAATTGTTTGCAAATTAAAAAAAAAAATAGAATTGCAAATTATTCTACTTAATCTGTAAATGAGTTGGAGTAGATGATACTAAGACTCCCTCCTCCTTTGTATGTTCAATTTTTTTGAGCACTCAATAAAGTGCCTAAGAGGTAAGAAGGACGTATAAGAAATGGTCCCTGATTTGAAATATTTTATATATCTGGTGAGAAGCAGGAGAAGACTTAGCCATGTGAAAATAAGTAGGAAATTATAAAAAGTTAATGTAAAAATACCATTTGGTTCTAGATGATTATAAGATGACATGATTTTTAACAGAACTGGAATAGGAAATCACAAAAATAGTGAGTGATAAAAAACAAAGGGAAGTGATTAAGAAAAATCCATTGGTACAACTGGAAACATGGTATTTGATAGCTCTGAAGTCACCCTCTGTAATGATGATGGTTCAATATCCTGTGCCATTGTCAGATTTAATGAGAAGTTTCCAGTGAGGAAACCTTACAGAGAGTTTTTCCTTCCCCCAGTCTCCAGATTTTCATCCTATTAAAGTCTATAATAGTATATACCTTAACTTTTCTTTTCCTCCTGACCATTATATCATATACTTCTCATCTAGAAAGTCTTTTGAGGTAAAACCCAACCATTTTCCAATCTTTTAGAACCATTTTTGACATACTTTTTCATCCTTGATACACATTTGTCATTATAAATTAGCCTGTGTTGTTTGCCCATTTGATGGTAAACTCTGTATGGGAAAGACTATCTGGAGTGTAATTCTCTAAACATAAATACATGAAATTAGCTGAAAGTCCTTTTATTAGAATATAATAAATGTTTTATTTTCCCATTCCATTTACAATCCTATAAAGCTGTAGGTAACATAACAATGAATAACTTTAATTTTAGTAATGAAAGGCTCTTTGCTAACATAGACTTCTCAAAAAAAAAAAAAAACCAAGAGCATTGGATATATAATTTACATTCTAAGTATATACATTTCCATAAAACCAAGAAAATTATGCTGTACATTTGCATAAAAAGCAGAGTATTTCTTTAAAAAAAGTTTTTGAAGTTTTCCTTTTAAATATCCATACTCTCTGGTTAAGGTAACACACAATTTAGGATTATAGTGTAAAGATAATACCAATTGACAGAAAGGACGTTAACTTTTTTAAAATATAAAAAGATATAACATACTTTCAAAAGTTTGAATTTTAAATGGACATTTCAACAGTAAATTAATTCAAAGTACAAAATGCGTATCAAATGCAAAATACTGTATCTCCATAAATATTTCCTACAAAAGCTCCCACTAAGCTGTATATATAAAATACCCACACCTTTATGATGTATATAGCTAATTGTCGATCCATCTTTTCACCAACCTTACTTAAGCTACCCTACCAAGTTTACATAAACCCCTTTCCCCTTGAATTTATATAAGTTCCAGAGCAAAGTAGGTGATACAGGGGAAAGGGGAGAGGCTGGGTAGTATAAAAGAGACCTAACAAGAGTTTTGGTTGTTTAGTTGCTTAATTGTGTCCAATTCTTCATGACTCCATTTAAGGTTTTCTTGGCGAAGACATTGAAGTGGTTTGTCATTTCCCTCTCCAGCTTATTTTACAAATGAGGAAACTGAGGTAAACAGGGTAAATTGACTTGCCCAGGGTCACACAACTAGTGTCGGAGGCCGATTTGAACTCAGGAAGATCAATCTGCCTGATTTCAGGCCTGACATTCTATTCACTATGCCAAGTTAAATGACAGCAATCCTTGGCTACCAGGAGGAAGAGGAAGAATGGAGGTTAAGTCCTACATAATATATAAACGGGCAAAAAATAGTCTTTGGCATCCTATTCTCTCCTTTTCCTTTCCCCGGCTTTTCTCGTATGTACTGAAACCTCTTCTGCTCCAGAATCACAGGTTCCCTATCCCAGTTTTTACGTGCTCAAAAATTCTCTCTGGATTCTTATGCTATCTACTTCAAAACCCTTATTCCTTTACTTTGTAATTACAAAGGAAGCAATCTGGTCACATTAATTTACATCAGGTGAGGACAAACTTAAGGTGTGACAATTCAATCTTCCAATGACTAATTTCCTTGTTATTCTAATTAAATCTCAAATTGATAGCGTTTGTGGGGCAGTCCTAGGAAATAGCAAAGTGTGAGGAGGCAGTGACTACTCTTAAATTATAATGATTCCTTTATTTTTCTTTTCTTTTTTTTTTTTTGGTGAGGCAATTGGGGTTAAGTGACTTAGTGCCCAGGGTCATACAGCAAGTAAGTGTTAAGTGTCCGAGGCAGGATTTGAACTCAGGTCCTCCTGACTCCAAGGTTGGTGCTCTATCAACTGCGCCACCTAGCTATCCCTAATTTCAATGCTTCTTGAAGCAGGAGAAGATAAAGGAACATTTGTAGAAGTCCATCTTATGTAGAAAGGAGGTAGAAGTAGAGAGGGGAAAGAAAGTGTAGAAAGAAAGAAATGATATGTAGGCCAAGAAAGAAGGTGTCCTGAGGTTCATTTATATATCTCATAATGCATAAACTCAGGGGAACACAGGTAGCTAGACCTCCATGCTTCCTTGTTTAGGGAATGTTCATAGCCCAACTATTCTGGGAACTATCAAAAGCTTGCTTTGGCCATGTAAAAGCAATCAATATGCTTTCTTTGCTCATTATGACTAATTGACGTGAAAATAATAATTATATCATGAAATATTGACTGTTATTTTGATCTGATTATGACGCAAAATACTTCATATGCATTCAGTCTTTGCTGTTTGTGGCTTACTAAGTTCAGTCGTATAATCATAACTCTTTTAAAAATGTACTAGTCACTGTGCAAGTTTCAAGGGAGTTGTGGAAAACCAAACAACTATTAAAACTTACTGTCTACATCATTGTTCATAAGTGGTAAAAGAGAGTTTAGCATGTTGCAATGCTGTACATTATTAGAGCTAATCTTCATATGGAAAAGAGAATATCCAATCAGAAGCAAGTCATTCTTCTCACCTCTTCAAAGACAAAATCATGTTGTTCATCCTGCAGTTTTAGTACTGAAAGGTCATTCTTATTTCTGCCAACGAATGGAAGGGAACAACCAATTCAGAGAAATGAGTAAGGGCTTCTAACTCACAGAGAGAATAAAGAAAAATAAAGTAGTTCAATATATTTAATGTAAGATTACAGATAAGGTGCTGGGCCCCTGATTTTACAGATGAGGAAACTGAGGCAGAGGAAGGTTAAGAGACTTACCAAAAGTCATACAAATAGTAAGCTTCAAAGGGAGAATTTGAGTCCAAGTCCTCTGACTCAAGAGTCAGTATTATGTTCAGTTAGTTTAATAAGAGCTACTTTTTTTTAATGTTATTGTTTTAAGGTAGTGAGTATAAAAGTGTCTCTCTCCCCCTCTGCTTCCCTCCTTCTTCTCTCCTCTTCCCTCCTTCTCTCTCTCCCCTTTCTTTCCACTCTCTCTCATCATTCTATATGATCAAGGCACATCACCCGACAAAAGTTCCAAGTATTGTCTTATTATATTGAAATGGTTTGAAATTCTTATAGTCTACAAGACTGTTGGCATGGAAATCACTTGGTATGCTGTCACATCAACCAAGTTTTAATGGCAAAATATTTTTGCTTTTTAGGATGAGGGAAGGAGATAGGAACAAGTATACAAGTGAATACAGAACTTTTAATCCTTATAATGGAGCCTTAGAAACAGTCATTTGTCTATTTGCCCCCAAGATAATTTATTTCATTTTGCCATATGTTGGCCTCTTGGAAGAGGTAAATAGACTTGCAGGGGAAAAAAATGTGTGAGGGTGAGTAAGTAAACCCTCCCTTCAAAATGAAGAAAAATTCACCCTCATGATAGTCATCAAATTTATTTTTTTTTGTCCTTTTTGGAGCCCTCCAAACTATCTGGAAAAAAAGTGTAGAACTATTGGCAACACATTTATCTCTTCATGCATGTTTGTGCTAATGTAGCAAATTTGGGTTCCAGATGATCTAAAAATTCAAGCCCTTCTTCTTCATGGCGCTCACTGCAACATCCTACAGAGCCAGCTGTGGAGCCTCTTCCTTCATAGTTATATGTAAGAACACAGTCTTGAGCATTGGTGTTGTCTTCATTCTGGTTGCAGAGATGCAACTTCTACAAAGTAAGAAAACACATTTTATTATTTTTAAAGAGGCACCTAAGTAGATGAATGTAAAAATTATTTTTATTTACCTTTGATTGCTTAATTTTTAACCAGAGTGTGTCCTCTAATGGATTCCTACACACAAAAAATGTACATGGTTGGCCGGTATCATAAGCACACTATAAAATCAACATTTAGCAGATCTCTAGCAATCATGCAGTTAGAAGGTTGTGCACAAATGTGTTCTTCATAATCATGGTTCCATCAGGAAATCACAACTAAAAGCAGTATTTGCTCGTGAAATGTAGGTAGAACCAGGATTCTGATCTTTGCAGTTTTGGTTCAATACATTTGGTAAACAATCTAGAGCCATATCTCTGTACATCAAAATCAAGTTCCACCAAACAATTAGCAACAATGAAAAATTCTTCCACATAGTTCAAATAAAATCAATGAAATTACATGAGAAACACAAAATGAAGTTCATTTGAAGGTTAGACATTTTGAAAAGACGTCTCTGTCTCAATCCTCTTGTTCTTTGTCTACCAAATTTCCTTGTCCATAATTGGTACTGATTTGCACAGCTTTTGCTGTAAAGTGCCCAGTCACCAGAAGCTTTCCCAAAGAATAAGCTTCCAAGCACAGTGTATTGAACCAAAGAACCACAGGTAAATGGTTCCACAATCCTACCCTCTTTCCAATTTGTGCTTAGAGTTACCTTGTGACATGAAAACCAGAGTCACAAAAAACAAACAACACTGGGCATAGACTTGGATTTACCCACAATAGGCAATAGATCAATAATAAGTCATAAATCCTTCCTATCTCAGGTAAAGATCCAAAAAAGATTAAGGACTTTGAGATATATGAATAAAAAGGTGCTCAAAGCATTGGAAATCTTAGAGACAGAAGAAAGTGGTTAGAATATCTGTTTTTCTCATTCTCTATTCACCTCTCAAAGCCCTATATATGTGTCACGAACTTGTTGGGAGAGAGGGAGTACAGACAGTAAAACATGCAGACTTAAGGAGTCTGTAAATTTTAAGTACGTGTTTTTTTCTAAATTCTACTAGATTAAGTGACTTTGTACAGTGAAACACTTAAATGATATAAAAGAGTTTTAATGAGTGGCATTAGACATGTTAATGGTATTGAAGATACATATTAAGTGAAATGTAATGGATAAAGCAAAATCTGTTTCTGACTAAACATAAATATACACTGAAAATATGGAATAACTGTTCCCAAAAATATAGTTTAGCCTATTATTACAAGTTTACCATTCAGTATAAGTATGTATATATACTTATATATACATGTGTATACACACATATTATACATATATTTGTATAAATGTGTGTATATAAAGATGTATATATATAAAGTCTATATATAGATCTATATATACATCTAGATATGTGTACAAAAGATGCACACATATAGATATGTAGATATAGACATCTATATATCTATATATACACACTCACATATATTCTCAAAAATTCTAATACAAACATTATAGCCTGAAGACTACCCAGAAAACTCACTTCACCAAGACGTGGTTGAGTATAATTGTGCCACTCAGAGTATGTATATCTGCAGGTATCAACTTCAACATGTCCTCCACTCCTGCAAGAATCCAGGGTGTGATGTCCTCCTTGACAGGATTCCAGGGTGTGATGCCCTCCTTGACAGGATTCCAGAGTGTGATGGCCTCCTCCTCGACAGGATTCCAAGGTCTGATGTCCTCCTTTCATCATTTCAAAGCATTCCTGTCCCCCATTTTTAATTCCTGATCCCGATGTGCCACAAAAACCTTGGCCATTACCGTTAAGCATCTGTGTAGCAAATCCATTTGTGGAACACTGAAAGAAAATAGGGCCATTTATGTCATGTGATCAAGGAATGCAAAGCATGATGACAGGTACAAAAGAAAGAGGAATACATTGATTTGCAATAATATTTAGGTAATTAAACTTTGCTATTTGTACTCTAGTATGTGTTATGGAATGAAATTCATTGGAAAGCAGGTCTGCCCTTAGCATTGTTTCGATAAAAGTTAATCACATATTACAGTAAGAACTAGGGATACAGTGATTAAAAAATGACAGTCTGTGCTGCCAAGAAGTTTGCATTCTGCTGTAGGGAATGGTGGGAGTGTATGTTACACAACATGTATGCAGATAAATAGAATACAAGCTGGGAAGTGACAGGGTCAAAGGAGCACACTAGTCAAAGTACTTCACAAAAATCGGACAGGGAAGAGAACTCTTTCATTTGGGAAGAATGGAAGGGTAGGAGGGGGTGGCACCTAAACTGAGAGCTATGCATCCTAAATGTTGGGGTAGCTAGGTGGTGCGGTGGATACAGTGCTAAACCTGGAGTCAGGAAAAGATGCCTCTTCATGAGTTCAGATGTGTTTTCAGACTCTTATTAGTTTTTGTGAGCCTGGGCAACTCATTGAACCTTGTTTACTTCAGTTTCCTCACCTGTAAAACAAGCTGAAGAAAATAGTAAACCACTGGAATATCTTTGCCAAGAAAGCCCCAAATGGGGCTGCAAAGAGTCAGATATAACTGAAACAACTGACCAACAATCTCCTTAAGTGATTGTGCTCCATCCTATCTCAGATTATGCTCTCTGTCATCCTCATTCTATCACTTATTTTCAGTCTCTCTTTATCTACTGGCTCATTCTGTATGGCCTACAAACATGTCCATACATTCCTTATCTAGAAAAAACCCTCACCTGATCTCCACTATCTCCACTATCATTCTAAATCACTTATGCCTTTTGTGGCTAAAGTAAAAGATCTTAGAAGAAAACTTAAGAAACCTTAAAAATAAACAGATGAACCCACAGGAAAAACAGTAACAACATAAGGAAACATGGCCCCCAGATCTAGTAAATAAGTGTAGGCATTTATGAAGAAATATTTCAAAATAAAGGAAAATGATCCAACACTTGATGAGACAGACAAAATTGTGAAAGTCGAGGAGAATATGGAACCACAGCATGCTACTCCTAGGTCTCCCAGAAGAACAAGACAGGACAAAAAAAAAAAAAAAAAAACACTATGATGAAAGAAATAATAGCAGAAAACTGCCCAGAACTTCTAAACATAAGAAAATGTAACTTCAACTGAAAGAATCCATAGGTCACCTCTAGAAAAAAATTCCAAGGCTGCAAAATCCATCATACATAATGGTTAAATTTAACAATTCAATTCAGAATCAAGTTTTGCAAGGCATCAAAGGAAAAACCTTTAAATAAAAAGGAAAGGATATTTGAATAGCACAAGACTACTCTGCATACTCTAGAAAAAGAAGGCAATACAATATGTTCCAAAGAGCAATGGAGCTCAGGATAAGCCCAGTTGTTTCAGTTGTATCTGACTCTTTGTGGCCCCATTTGGGAGTCAGTACAAATCTGAGCTTAACCATACAAGACAAAAGATGGACATTCAATAAGAAACATTTGAAACATTTTTAAAAAAGAACCAGAACTGAAGATATCATTTGCTTCTCAAATACCCCAAAAAATAGAAATATAGGAGGAGTGAAGAAAGGTAACAAGCAAGAAAAGCAACAGCCAACAGAGTGACAACAGAAAGATGAGTAAAAGACTTCTTACCAAATGTACACAAAGAGATAGGGACAAAGGTGGAAATCTGGTAGAGGAAGTAGAAAGGGAATATTATGGATAGAACCTGGAGACACCCTGCCTACAGGAGAATATTTCTTTTGTGGGACTATATTACAACATGGGAAGTACATAAAACGAAGGGAGGAAAACTGGGGGATAGAGAAGAGTGAGTGATGTGCCCGTGCCAAATCATGTGCTACCAATGAGGGGAAGGAGAAAGCTGTGGTCTCATAAAGAAAAGAGCCTACAGGGGAGCAGGTGAGGAGGAGGGAGAAAAGATTAAAAAAGGTTGAAAAATGAAGGAGGGCTTAAAAGTAGGAGGGGGTTCCACTGATAAATGCTCCCATGAGTGACAAGAGATGATTGGTGAAGAAACTTTACACTAGATAAGCCCTGGGGGATTTTATGCTTGAAATGTCAACTTGTCCTAGAAGGGGGAGATGGAACCCCTACGAGTAACTGCCACCTAGAGAAGTCAACACATGAAAGAGATTTCCAGCAAATGTAGAATAAAAGTTCAACAGATTAGTGTTGGAATGCATAATCAGAGATGTGGTAGGGAAGTGACTCTACCGTGAGATAGGGTCTCTGACACATACAATAACTGGCACCCGGGGGCAAGCCCTACCAGGCAGTGTCAGACAGCACCTAGAGAGGAGCCTAGAATGGTTACCTTGGGAGCTTTGACTGCATGAAGAATATAGACAAAATAGGAAGACCAGATAATTATAGTGATCATGAATCAGAGAAGGAGGGTCTAGAGCAGGCCTGCCCAACCTGTGGCCTACCAAAGGTGGGACCTGCTCTAGAGTAAACAAAGTATTTAATGAAGAGAGAGAGAAATCCTTTTTGGAAAGGGGATCAAAAAATGGAATTTCAAAACTAAGGAACATGACTAGCTGAATGGTTGGAGAAGGGTAAACCTATTTGACTGAAAGGAAAAAAAGAAGAAGAAATATTTACCACATAAAAGCAGGAGAGGAAAAAGGAACTAATAAACAAAACCCTAAAGGGAAGAAGTATCAAAATGAGAAGAAAGGGAGGGAAAGAGAATCAGTGGGAACAGGGCCACCTTAAAAAAATATTGAAGTAAAGTAACTGAAGGAAAATAATACTTTGTCTACAACAGAAGAGGAACTTGAAACTGAAAAATCACCTTCTACACAGACAACATTAATACATCTAGGATAAGAAGAGAAATGGTGGAAGGGGGGGGATATTTGTATCAAATTTTTCTGATAAGTGTTTATATGTCTTGGATACCAAACCCTTAAGAAATATGTATAAAACTGATAGCTATTCCCTGATAAATGGTCAAAAGACATGAACAATCAGTTATCAAAAAAAGTGCAAAATATTCATAAACTTGTGAAAGAATGCTCCAAGTCACTAATAATAAGAGAAATACAAATCAAAACAACTCAGAAGATTCATCTCATACCCTGCATATTGGTAAAAACAAAAACAAAAAAAACAAAAAAAATGGCAGGGGTTGCCTAAGGATAAGTACATTAATACATTGTTGGTGGAACTGTGAAATGGTACAAACATTTTGGAAAACAATTTGGAATTATGCAAATAAAGTGAATAAAATGTCCATACCCTTTAAATCAGAGACTCTCCTACTGAACTTGCCCCCAAGAAAGCCATCAAAAGGAAAAAAAATCCTCATATACTAAAAAGTATTTATAGCAGCACTTTTTGTGATAGCTAAGAACTGGAAACAGTAATACTCATCAATTAGGGAATGACTAAACAAATTGTGGTACATCAATTAATTGAATATTACTGTGCTGTAGGAAATGATGCATGTGATGAATACTGAGAAGCATGGAAAGATCTACATGAACTGATACAGAGTGACGTAAACAGAGCCAAGAAAACAATATACATAGTAACCACAACAATATAAATGGAAAGAATAATGATATTCCCCCAAATCAAAAGTTAAGAAAATTATAAGGGTCAAGTAGGACACAAATGAAGAGATAAGAGATGATATTCCCTTTGTGGAGGTGAGAGGTCCAAAAGTGTTACATGTTGCAAATGTTTTCAGACTTTTTCAATGTATTGACAAGTTATTCTGACTTTTTTCCCCCTCTCCAAAAATACCATTTGTAGGAGCAGCTAGGTAGCGCAGTAGATAGAGCTCTGGCCTTGTAGTCAGGAGGACCTGAGTTCAAATCTGGCCTCAGACACATGACACTTCCTAGCTGTGTGACCCTGGGCAAGTCACTTAACCCCTATTCCCTCACCAAAAAGCAAAAAAAAAAATACCATTTGTTGTATGGGATGGTTCTCTTGCAGGGAGAGGAGTAGAGAAAGGCTATTATGGTGATACAAGAAATAGAAAATATCAATGAAAGCTTATTTGAAAAAAGTGAGCTTTTGGTGGCACTACTTTCACATTTTTTTCTAGACTTATAAATATCATTATAAAAATCTCCCTGGAGCTGCCAAGTTGATTTATTGTAGCAACATTTGAAAATAATGATCAACAATAGTGGTGTGCTGGGAAATGTCAAATAATCAGCTCTCCAGAAAAAAAAAACTGTTCAGCAAGATACTATTTTTACATTTAATTTGCATTAACATTTTCTCCACTACTTTCTTAGTTTTAGACAATTAGCAAAACAATAAATCAAGACCTAATTTGTAGAATTGATTGATTTCTGAGGTATAAATTCACTGAAAATTTAATAATTTATAACTCATATTAATACTTTAGCTGTTGGTAATCTGGTTCCAACTGACTCCAGCACAACCCTGAATCATATACACAATCTACATCATTGTCAAATAATGGATGTTAAGCATCAACCTTGTCTATTACCTTCTATTTTTTTATTAGTCTCTCTTCTCCCTGAGGTTTCATACATTTGATAGTTACATGATAACACCTCTATACAGATGACTAATATTTCTATATTTTCCTTTATTACCACTTACCTAAGGTTTGGTGTGGTATCTTCAAGTAGACATTTGTTGCTCTGTCACTTTAAATTCAGCACATCTAAAATTCAAGTTGTCACCTTCTACTGTGGAAAAATTGCTCTAAATATTTGTTTTAAAAGAGCATTAATGTTTCATTTACTTTTTGCTTTAATTCATTTCCTGGGATAAGTTGTATTTGTAACTCTCGTTTTTTCTATATGCTTGCTTTTGATTATGTTATCCTCTTCCATGGGTTCAATGACCACTTTATGAGACAGTGAAGGGT